TATCCTAAATATATATGCACCCAATACAGGAGCATCCAGATTCATAAAGCAAGTCCTTAGACACCTGCAAAGACACTTAGACTCCCATACAATAATAATGGGAGACTTTAACACCCCACTGTCGATGTTAGACAGCTCACCGAGACAGAAGGTTAACAAGGATATCCAGGATTTGAACTCAGCTCTGGATCAAGTAGACTTAATAGACATCTACAGAACTCTCCACCCCAAATCAATAGAATATACATTCTTCTCAGCACATCGCACTTATTCCAAAATTGACCACATAGTTGGAAGTAAAGCACTCCTAGCAAACGTAAGAGAACAGAAATCACCATAAACTGTCTCTCAGACCACAGTGCAATCAAACTAGAACTCAGGATTAAGAAACTCACTCAAAACAGCTCAACTACATGGAAACTGAACAACCTGCTCCTGAATGACTACTGGGTACATAACAAAATGAAGGCAGAAATAAAGATGTTCTTTGAAACCAAAGAGAACAAAGACACAACATACCAGAATCTCTGGGACACATTTAAAGCAGTATGTAGAGGGAAATTTGTAGCACTAAATGTCCACAAGGGAAAACAGGAAAGATCTAATATTGACACCCTAACATTACAATTAAAAGAACTAGAGACCCAAGAGCAAACACATTCAAAAGCTAGCAGAAGGCAAGAAATAACTAAGATCAGAGCAGAACTGAAGGAGATAGAGACACACACACACACAAAAAAAAAACCATCAAAAAAATCAGTGAATCCAGGAGCTAGTTTTTTGAAAAGATCAACAAAATTGATAGACCACTAGCCAGACTAATAAAGAAGAAAAGAGAGAAGAATCAAATAGATGCAATAAAAATGATAAAGAGGATATCACCACTGATCCCACAGAAATACAAACTACCATCAGAGAATACTATAAACACCTCTATGCAAATAAACTAGAAAATCTAGAAGAAATGGATATATTCCTGGACACATACACCCTCCCAAGACTAAACCAGGAAGAATTTGAATCTCTGAATAGACCAATAACAGACTTGGAAATTGAGGCAATAATTAATAGCCTACCAACCAAAACAAAAGTCCAGGATCAGATAGATTCACAGCTGAAGTCTACCAGAGGTACAAGGAGGAACTGGTACCATTCCTTCTGAAACTATTCCAATCAATAGAAAAAGAGGGAATCCTCCCTAGCTCGTTTTATGAGGCCAGTATCACCCTGATACCAAAGCCTAGCAGAGACACAACAACAACAACAAAAGAGAATTTTAGAGCAATATCCCTGATGAACATCGATGCAAAAATCCTCAATAAAATACTGGTAAACCGAATCTGGCAGCACACCAAAAATCTTGTCCACCACAATCAAGTCGGCTTCATACAGGGGATGCAAGACTGGTCCGACATATACAAATCAATAAATGTAATCCATCACATAAACAGAACCAGTGACAAAAACCACATGATTATCTCAACAGATGCAGAAAAGGCCTTCGACAGAATTCAACAGCCCTTCATGCTAAAAACTCTCAATAAACTAGGTATTGATGGAACGTATCTCAAAATAATAAGAGCTATTTATAACAAACCTAAAGCCAATATCATACTGAATGGGCAAAAACTGAAAGCATTCCCTTTGAAAACTGACACAAGATGGGGATGCCCTCTCTCACCACTCCTATTCAACACAGTGTTGGAAGTTCTGGACAGGGCAATCAGGCAGGAGAACGAAATAAATGGTATTCAATTAGGAAAAGAGGAAGTCAAAGTGTCCCCGTTTGCAGATGACATTGTTGTATATTTAGAAAACCCCATTGTCGCAGCCCAAAATCTCCTTAAGTTGATAAGCAACTTCAGCAAAGTCTCAGGATACAAAATCAATGTGCAAAAAATCACAAGCATTCCCAAACACCAATAACAGACAAACAGAGAGCCAAATCGTGAGGGAACTCCCATTCACAATTGCTACAAAGAGAATAAAATACCTAGGAATCCAACTTACAAGGGATGTGAAGAACCTCTTCAAGGAGAACGACCAACCACTGCTCAATGAAATAAAAGAGAATACAAACAAATGGAAGAACATTCCATGCTCATGGATAGGAAGAATCAATATCATGAAAATGGCCCCCCGCCTCCCGGCGCGGGTGGCCGAGGCGTAGCGCTGCGACCCCCGTCCCTGCGAACATGGCGCTGCGAGTGGTGCGGAGCGTGCGGGACCTGCTCTGCACCCTGCGCGCGGTCCGGTCACCTGCCGCGCCCTGCCCGCTGAGGCCCTGGCAGTTGGGGGCGGGCGCCGTCCGGACACTGCGCACGCGACCCGCTCTGCTCTCGGTGCGTAAATTCACAGAGAAACATGAATGGTAACAACAGAAAATGGTATTGGAACAGTGGGAATCAGCAATTTTGCACAGGAAGCATTGGGAGATGTCGTTTACTGTAAGTCTACCTGAAGTTGGGACAAAATTGAACAAACAAGATGAGTTTGGTGCTTTGGAAAGTGTGAAAGCTGCTAGTGAACTCTATTCTCCTTTATCAGGAGAAGTAACTGAAATTAATGAAGCTCTTGCAGAAAATCCAGGACTTGTAAACAAATCTTGTTATGAAGATGGTTGTTTTTTGGTTGCAGGTTGGCTGATCAAGATGACACTGAGTAACCCTTCAGAACTAGATGAACTTATGAGTGAAGAAGCATATGAGAAATACATCAAATCTATTGAGGAGTGAAAATGGAACCCCTAAATAAACTAGTATGAAATACCACAACCCAGCAGATTGTCTTAAATTAGTGGTGGATAGAAGACTTAGAATAGCAACTTATAGCATTACCAATGGGGAAGAAAAAAACTACTGTTAACGCTGCTAATGAAGGAAAATGTCCTTTAACTTTGTAATGATTATAGATTTTAGACTAGTCTCTAGTGTTCAGAATTCATTAAATTATCCATGGTAAAAACTAGTTTTAAAAATTACATAATTCAAAGATAATGTTGTTATTCTTAAGCCTTATATAATATTGTAACTTGCCTGGATTTGGGATGAAATACTTAATGACCTTTCCATTGGAAATAACTGGGAGTGAAGAGGTTTTTGTTGCTTGTACAGTGTTAGATGACACACCACTATCTTGATTTTGCAATACACTGCATTTGCTGGTGCTATTTTTATACGGTGAAGCAACAGCTTTGCAGCAAAATAATAAAATACTTCTTCATTAATCATGTTTTTTTTGTTTTGATGTTAATATTTCATTTAGTGACTCTGCTAGCATTTGTGAAAGTGCTAACTTTAACTTAGGGAAAGTTACTTTTTTTTTTAAAGGAAATTTAAGCCAGACAATGAAAAACTCCAAGAAAATGTTTCCTTTAGTCACGAATCTGGTTTTTCTTAAGCCAAGATCACCTTTAACATAATAAAAAATAAATCACCAAAAAAAAAAAAAAAGAAAGAAAGAAAATGGCCATACTGCCCAAGGTAATTTATAGATTCAATGCCATCCCCATCAAGCTACCAATGACTTTCTTCACAGAATTGGAAAAAAATGCTTTAAAGTTCATATGGAACCAAAAAAGAGCCCACATTGCCAAGACAATTGTAAGTAAAAAGAACAAAGCTTGAGGCATCATGCTACCTGACTTCAAAGTACACTACAAGGTTACAGTAACCAAAACAGCATGGTACTCGTACCAAAACAGAGATAGACCAATGGAACACAACACAGCCCTCAGAAATAACACCACACATCTACAACCATATGATCTTTGACAAACCTGACAAAAACAAGAAATGGGGAAAGGATTCCCTATTTAATAAATGGTGCTGGGAAAACTGGCTAGCCATATGTAGAAAGCTGAAACTGGATCCCTTCCTTACACCTTATACAAAACTTAATTCAAGATGGATTAAAGATTTAAATGTTAAACCATGAAAACCCTGGAAAAAAAAACCTAGGCAATACCATTTAGGATATAGGCATGGGCAAGGACTTCATGACTAAAACACCAAAAGCAATGGCAACAAAAGCCAAGATAGACAAACGGGATCTAATTAAACTGAAGAGCTTCTGCACAGCAAAAGAAACTACCATCAGAGTGGGCAACCTGGCAGGTAAGTGGCCCTTACCTGGCAAAGCCAAGTGGCTTAGTGTGGGACAGAATAGGCAATCTACAGAATGAGAGAAAATTTTTGCAATCTACCCATCTGACAAAGGGCTAATATCCAGAATCTACAAAGAACTTAAACAAATTTACAAGAAAAAAACAAACAACCCCATCAAAAAGTGGGCAAAGCATATGAACAGACACTTCTCAAAAGAAGACATTTATGCAGCCAACAAACACATGAAAAAATGCTTATCATCACTCGCCATCAGAGAAATGCAAATCAAAACCACAATGAGATACCATCTGACACCAGTTAGAATGGCAATCATTAAAAAGTCAGGAAACAACAGATGCTGGAGAGGATGTGGAGAAATAGGAACGCTTTTACACTGTTGGTGGGACTGTAAACTAGTTCAACCATTGTGGAAGACAGTGTGGCGATTCCTCAAGGATCGAGAACTAGAAATACCATTTGACCCAGTAATCCCATTACTGGGTATATACCCAAAGGATTATAAATCATGCTGCTATAAAGACACATGCATACATATGTTTATTGCAGCACTATTCACAATAGCAAAGACTTGGAACCAAACCAAATGTCCATCAATGATAGACTGAATTAAGAAAATGTGGTACATATACACCATGGAATTCTAGGCAGCCATTAAAAAGGATGAGTTCATGTCCTTTGCAGGGACATGGATGAAGCTGGAAACTGTCATTCTGAGCAAACTATCACAAGGACAGAAAACCAAACACTGCATGTTCTCACTCATAGGTGGGAATTGTACAATGAGAACACTTGGACACAGGGCGGGGAACATCACACATGGGGGCCTATCTGGGGTGGGGGGGATGGAGAGGGATAGCATTAGAAGAAATACCTAATGTAAATGACGAGTTAATGGGTGCAGCAAACAAACATGGGACATGTATACCTATGTAACAAACCTGCACATTGTGCACATGTACCCTAGAAATTAAAGTATAATAATAATAGTAATAAATCTCACCTTTCTGCCAGAATATGCAGAAGAAACAGTGTCTCTGAAACTTTGATTTGCATGGACATCAACAGAGGGTGTAGCTAGAGCCCAAGTGTGTGACAGTCAGATGAAAGTGGCCCTTACCTGGCAAAGCCAAGTGGCTTAGTGTGGGGCAGGTTCATTCAAGAACTTTCTCTACTTCTCTCCCCAGATCCTCCTCAGGATCAAGGTCAGTGCTGTCCCAGAACGTTTAAAGGCAGGGAGAAGAATTACCTTATAGGGCGCTAACATGTTTTCCCAAAATCTCCAACTTTTTTTTCTTGTTTAGCCATTGTACAAAATTGGGGAAATGTACAACTTCTGGGTAGATTCTGCATAGTGGAGAAAAGGCTTGAGAGGCACAAAGGCTAGGCTTTACAATCGCTACCCCTCACTCCATCATCCTTATCTATGCATTTCCCTGGTAACCCCATCCACAGCCTGATACCTTCCCCACTGTCATTTCTGCTGCATTACAGACACAGACTTGCAAATAGCTATGATTGTGACTGAGTTTCTTCATGACACCTGACCCTTTCTCATGCTGCAAGGAAAGCTTGCTGGGAGGAGCCTGGAATCTGGAATGAAGCCAGAGGGCAAGGCTTAAAGGGGGATCATTTAAGTGCTGCAACTCAAGAGATTCACTCAGAAGACTGGACACAATTCCAAAGGTCGCCCAGAGGGAGAGAACAATGTCATTTCTAACTGTGAGTTGAAAAGGCACAGCCTTCAATAATCTCACATCACACAAACCAAGAAAGAAATGGGGTATTTTATGAGATGAAAATATGAGCATTCCTACTGTGAATGCTTTACTGAGAGTTCTGGGTGTGTGGAAGAGAAACACTGAGGCTAGGTATCTGAGATGCTTGTACCATGTGGGGTGTGGATCCTGGACCAATGTAACCCTGTGTGAGCATGAGGTGGTGTCTGATGAGAGTGAACTCTGCTGAGATGATATGACTTTAGGTGGGAGGTGGATGGCCCACCAGGTCAAGCAGGTGTGTGTATCAGTGTAAGGGGTGATTGTGCTTTGTCTTCCTCTTTGTGATATGAGTGTGTGTTTGTGCACAGCCAGACCAGTGCATGAGCATCTTTATGCATACAGTGAACAGGTGTGTGTGACTCAGTGAGTGGCATGGCTCTGTGTGACTGTGGATGTGTGTGCTGGGATGTGACTGGGTATTGAAGGGAAAACATACGTGTGGCCTTCTGTGCATGTGAAGGTTCCTCCCCACACAGCAGCATCTCTGATGAAGGAACTGTGTGTCTTTTCATGTGTGGCAATGTGAATCCCAGATGGCTTAACTGGTGGGGATCTTGGAGATTGTGAGTTACCAAGGACTTGTTTCAGATCACTTGTGAGAGTGGAATGTATGGTCAGTAGATGTCTCTTCCCAGTAAGAGTGGGGAAGAGGAATGCAGACTATGGGGGTGATGGTTCCTCAGGTGGGGTCTGCACAGAGTGACCACTGGCTCTTGCCTCCCAGGCTCAGCTTCCCTGTCTCCAGCCTATCCTGTACTTTTCATTGTGAGACAGGAGGTTTGCTAGAGAAGGACATCAGAGGCCATGGTTTCAGAGACTGAATCACGTAAAATACCCACTGTAAGCTCTGTCTCAACTGAGTCTAAACTTGTTCCTCCACCCATGAAGGAACAGTTTAGTCTCAGTTCAGACAGAGCTCACAGTGGATATTAATCAACAAAGCAGCCGGGTTCACTGGCTCATGGCCATCATCCCACCAATTTCAGAGACAAAGATGAGAGGATAACTTGAGGCCAGAAGTTTGAGACTGGTCTGGGTATCATAGTGAGACCCTTTCTTTAAAAAACTTTAAATATCAGACTGTCAGAGGGGCAGGCACCTTTCGCCCCAGCTACACAAGAGGGGGCAGATGTGTGAGGATCACTGCAGCCCAGTAGTTCGACGTTTCATTGAGCTATTATCGCACCACTGCATGTCAGCCTGGGCAACAGAGCAAGACCCTATCTCAAAAATACAGAAAAATCATCAACCACTTGTAGTCGTGGTAGAAATCAATCGTTCCCTCCAGTTATGTCTCTGACCCACAGGCTTCTTTTGTGCAAGTACTGGGGCTGTGCTCTCAGTAATGTGTGCCCCTTCTTGGAAGGACGTCCATTGCCCTTGATGATCGTGATGCATGTGCCTCCCACACACAGGGGTTTCCTGTTCTTTCATCATTTCTCTCTCTTTCAACAAGTGTTGTTTCTCTCACTGGAGTGAATTTCTAAATTCTTACATCCTCAAGTCTTGTTTTCATTTTCAGAGTTGAAAATGAAGGCAGGTCAGTGTCTCAGGAGGACTCCCCGGTTCTGTTAGGTCACCCCTAACAGGCCCTACCCATGCCAGGGATTAGGGGAAAAGGTTTACATATATTAACTGCTCTATTATAAAGAATTTCTTACAAAGTAGGAATTCGTGATAATCCTCTTTGTTTTAGGGAAACTGAGGAAGTCAAGTAACCGATCTAAGATTGCACGGCTAGTAAAAGGCAGAATGAGGACCGGAATCCAGGCATCTTGGCTCCTGAACCCTTGCTCTTACCTATGGGTCCACCATATCTTCAGGAACACGGGGTCTGATGTGGTAGGGTGAAAGGGGAGAGTCCACAGAGTCTTCCCTGTGATCTCTAACCTCCTGCACTATGGGAATATGTTACAGGAGGGGAGACTGCGCCTGACCCTGCACCTCTCACTTACTCTCAATACTCTGGCAGGTGCCATACAAACTGCCTGTGTCTTTGTCTGTTGGTTCCTGCGTGATAATCAAAGGGACACCGATCGACTCTTCTGTGTGAGTACTCCATGGTCCAATGGAGAGGGTGGAGGAGAAAGGAGTATATTTGCTAACAGTTCGACCTTATGTGTGGGTGATGTGGAAATGTCCAGTTGGCAGGATGGAGGCCCCATGCAGGTGCAGGTCCTGGAGACCCTCCAGCATCAGGCATGAAATCTGCAGCAACTACCTGTGGGCCAGTCACGGGGTCTAGCGGAGGAGGACACTCAGTGGGTTGGGGCTGTGGCTCTTCATCAAGGGGCATAGAATTTTCAGGGAATGAACAAGTCATAGGCCCAGGTCAGTGGCTGTGACTCAGTTTTCATCTGGGGATGAGGAGCACAGCATCTCCCTGCTGGGGGCACGAGGAGCTTAAGCATCCCCACAGGGATCAGGCCTGCAGTATCATCGGGGAGACTTTTTCCTTGGGTAAAGGGGGGAAGGGATTTGTGTGTGTGTCCAGTGTGTGTCTGCACAATGAAGGAACCTGTCCAACATGCTGTGTGCTTTGCCCTCAGCAATGAACCACAGCTGCAGGTGGATTTCTACACTGAGATGAATGAGGAGTCAGAAATTGCCTTCCATTTGCGAGTGCACTTAGGCCGTCGTGTGGTCATGAACAGTCGTGAGTTTGGGATATGGATGTTGGAGGAGAATTTACACTATGTGCCCTTTGAGGATGGCAAACCATTTGACCTGCGCATCTATGTGTGTCGCAATGAGTATGAGGTGAGCACCCCTGGAGCTCCTAGCACCCAGGCTCTTTGGGATCCCAGAGCAAGAGGCAGCTCTCATTGACCTGGCCTCACCAGTCCCTCAGGGCCCATCTCCCATAACTACCCCTGCCCCAGCTTTTCATCACAGAGCACCCTCTGCTTGCACTGCCGTCCTCAGCTCTTTCCCAAATCTGACCAAGGTCAAGGTCGGCTCACCTTCCATTTCCCCAATAGTGGAGAATCTCCTCTGTCTTTTCACATAGTGCTCATTTCTACGTATGCCAGTATTTAAATTTTCATGTAGCTGAATGAATACAATATACTTAAGAAAAAAGTTTTTTCTATCAATCAGACTTAAGGAAAAAGAAGCCATAATCTCTTACTAAATCAAAAAAGTTTTTCTACTATCAATCAAAACTACGGTCTTCGTCTCACTATGGCCCACTACTCTAAAAAAAAAAAAAAAAAAAAAAAAAAAAAAAAAAAAATTTTCTACATCAACTTAGAAAATTCTACATCATACGAAAAATTACCCAGTCTCGCTCTCCCTTCCAAGAAAATTTCTTTTTTGTTTTTTTTTTTTTTGAGACAGAGACTTACTTTGTCATCCAGGTTGGAGGGCAGTGACATGATCTCAGCTCACTGCAACTTCCACCTCCCGGATTCAAGTGAGTCTCTTGCCTTAGCCTCCCAAGTACCTGGGATTACAGGTGCATGCCACCACATCTGGCTAATTTATTTTTGGCAGAGACAGGGTTTCACCATGTTGGCCAGGCTGGTTTTGAACTCCCAGTCTCAAGTTATCAGCCCAACTCAGCCTCCCAATATAGTGGGATTACAGGCATATGCCACCGAGCCAACCCCTTCAGAGGAAATCTTTGCCTATGGAAGCATATAGATATGTCTATGATTTCATTTGTGTTTAAGCAAATCCTGGTATAAGTTGCTCTACACATTACACTTTAGGAACTAAGTTGGTTTTTTACCAAAGAATATATCTTGAAGACATTCTCAATCCATGGTGCTGCTTCAATTGTTCAGTTGGGCATTGAAGTTGTTCCCAGTATTTTGCTCTCACAAATGATGCTGTATCAGGCTTTCAAATAAATCCTTTTGTCATTACCAACCTCCCAATACTTATATTGGGACATAATTACAAAAAAATGAAAAAATTGGTTGAAAAATATGTGCATGTTAAATTTGAAAAACTAATACTAATAAGGTGACTTTCTCTATAGTCTCAATATAAGGAATATATCCATACTCTCTTGCTTTCTCTAATGAGTAGGCCAAAAGATTCCCATCTCATTCAGATTCATGTGAGGGATCTTTTCCTATGCTTAGAAGTTGTTGAAGATAATATCTTATGTTATACAAGACCTGTCTTCCTTTAACTCTCTAAGAACACTGGGCTTCATTCTTTGCCACTAACACCTCAGATGTAGGCTACTCCAAAGAGGAACTGTGCCATCAATAATGAAAGGCAGTCACAATTCGTGGAACTGAAAAGTATGCATTTCAATGAACATGGTCTAGCACTAACCCTGTGGCAGGTCCTGTGTGAGATGCAGGGTCTCAGGTTCCTGAAACACAGTCCCTGGTAATGGGGTCATCCAGTTTAAAAGGGAGGCTGAGTAACAGGGACTGTGTGACACAGAGTGTAGAACGTCACAAGAGGAATGAGAGGAAACTAGAAATAAAGTCAGCAACTGTCTCAAATAGGTACAAAACATCATCTGTAAACAGAAGTGTATCTACAACATTCACTTGTATAACTAGGAGTTTTCTTGGAGAATGTTATTGGTACTAGGGCAGAGTAGAGAGGAGGCTGAAAACTTGTCTTTCTGATGCATTTTTCCTCTTAAAGGTAAAGGTAAATGGTGAATACATTTACGCCTTTGTCCATCGAATCCCACCATCATATGTGAAGATGATTCAAGTATGCAGAGATGTCTCCCTGGACTCAGTGCTTGTCAGCAATGGATGGAGATGATTACACTCTTCATTGTTGAGGAAACCCTCTTTCTACCTGACCATGGGATTCCTGGAGCCTGCAAACAGAATTATCCCTCCTCAACCCTTTCCCCTACACTTGGTCATTAAAACAGCACGAAACCGCACATGATTTGGTTCTTGCTTTAAGAGGGGGAAAGAGGATGTGGTCATCCCCAAAAGGGGCCAGGGCATTCTATGGGAGGCATCAGGAAATCAAAGGGGATAAACCTTCCTGTGACAAAGGGAGTGAGTGACAAGGTCCCTGGAATGTCTGATAAGACATTAGAAACAGCATCCTTCTATAGTACGTAGTTGACGTCAGACAGTCTGAACCAAAATACTTACCCAATCTCAGATGACTCACGGCACTTAAATGTTAGACAGCTGTTTACAGCCAGGCAGGTGTACCTAGTAGCTTTGGGGAAAACCTATAACTTGAGGAAAATGATGTGGAATTTCTTAATTTTTCCATTGTTCTCAGGATGCTTATTGTGTATGAACACTATGCCTGGCTTTGTGCGGGCTGCTGTGAAAGAAGTGAAGAAAAAGATGACAAGTTTTGCATGTAAAGTTTTCAATCCAAGTAATAGAGAATCACGGGAGCCCAGTGATTCCCCTTAAATAATCCCAATTATTCTTATTTGCAAATATTTGAAAAGTTTTTCATTTTATGTGGGGAGAATCCAGGGGTTTCTCTTTGGAAATAAATGGTCATGGTTTTAGATCAGAGAACACGAAGATTATTATTGGAATAGACACAATTCATGTACATGGACACAGTGAGCAGACTCTGCTTTGCTGCTATTCCTGTGATAAACTGCAGCATAGAAAACCGCCCAACACATATTGGTTAGAAGCAATCATTTATTTTGATCTCTCCCAGCTTTACAGGTTTACTGAACTCATGTGAGTGGTAGATCATGTGATGGGAGTCACATTTTCTGAGGGATCTTTTAGGCTGGGATTTCAAGGGATGCTTTACTCATGCCCAATTCAACACTAGGGCTGAGTGAACACCTGGAAACTGGCTGATTATTTCCTTCACTACCTCACCTTCCCATTCATGCCTTTAATTTCCTCAAATAGACTCTCACAGTTCTTAGACTTAATGAATGGTGATTGGCTTTCACCAAAGAAAGTCTTCCAAAAGGCTCATGGAGAAGATGCACAGCATCACAGACCTACCTTTGAATGGCAGACAGTGTCACTTCTATGACTTTACATTGATCAAGGTGAGTCACACAGACAGCCCTAATCAAAAGGAGAGGACTCCACAAGCTGTAGTTATTGTGACTGTAGTCATGAGGGGCCATCCTTGGCAACTAGTTCCCCTCAGAACTACTTCCCATATACCAAAAACACACCCTGTAAGGAATCTCTGAAGGCGTACAATTATAGGAACAGGCTCAGAGTAAAGTGCAGTGTCTTATCTAATCAGAATATGGTGTCTGTGATGTGACTACAACTTATCACATGCAATCTCTCTCAACCTGTGCATCAAAGGAACACATTATCTGCTTTATACAAATCAAGCAAAGAAGACTGAAAGAGACAAGAAAAAGGCAATGAATACACCTATTTTAGAGGGGCAAAATAAAATAGACAGCAGTCCCTAATCCATATCATTGGTGAAACCAACCAGACACCTATTTTCATTTTCTCTGGGAATGTTTCTCTGTAGCACTTACCCTCAGCCTCCATTCTCAGCTTCTTGGAGTTCCTACCAAGATGGCAGAATGACAGCCCTTTTGCTATGCCTGGCTAATTTTGTATTTTTAGTAGAGATGGGGTTTCACCATGTTGGTCAGGCTGGTCTTGAACTCCTGACCTCAAGTGATCTGCCTGCCTCGGCCTCCTGAAGTGCTGGGATTACTGGCGTCAGTCACCATGCCTGTCCTCTAAACTTGTGTTATGGAGACTCATTTTCATGGTTAAAATGTCTTGAATTGACTGTGCCTGTTGGGAGGTGGGATGGAGGAAGCTACTTATGGAAAATGAATAAGAAAGGGAAGCACACCAGAAGCAAGAAAGTGTTACCAATTTTTACGTCAAAGACTCCATGAAAAAGAGAAAGTACAAGTAGCCTGTTTTCGTAGCTGACCATTGGACTGCAGACTGCACCTGCGGCTACCAGGTTCTTCTGGATAGTCCCAGTTTTCAATTTTGGCCTGATATTCAAGAACACAGTGCTACCGGTCAGACCTCTGTCCAGGTTTAAGTTTCAGAAAATAAGGTCTTTGTGCAGCGGAGGCCTGGTTAGGTTTATGATTCTGCCCTGGGGCATCGGCCACTTCTGACCTGGAGGTAACCTTGGCATCTATTTACCTCCACACTTGAACAGCCAAGGATGAGCTGAGCACAATGGCTCACATCTGTAACTCCAGCACTTTGGGAGGCCAAGGCAGGAGGATCACTTGAGGCCAGGAGTTAAAGACCAGCCTGGGCAATATAGTGAGACCTTCCTTGTCTCTGTAAAAATAAACAAACAAACAAACAAAACCAAGGATGGGTGAGTGGCAGGGAGCAGATCAACCTGGGAAACCATTAATCTGAGAGCTGGAAGGAACCTTAGACCAGTCCCCCATTAACAGATGAGACTCTGCCCTGGAATTACAGCTTTTCTAGAGATTTGAAAATAATCAATCCTAAAACCCCCAAGCATACTGCTACTGTTTGCTACTTAATAATATTTTCTATTCCGGGTGCGGTGGCTCACGCCTGTAATCCCAGCAGTTTGGGAGCTTGAGGCGAGTGTACCACCTGAGGTCAGGAGTTCAAGACCAGCCTAGCCAACATGGTGAAACCCCATCTCTACTAAAAATACAAAAAATTAGCTGGCCATGGTGGTGCGTGCCTGTAATATCAGCTGCTTGGGAGGCTGAGGTAGGAGAATCCTTTGAACTTGGGAGGCAGAGGTTGCAGTGAGCCAAGATTGCACCATTGCACTCCAGCCTGAGCTACAAGAGTCAAATTCTGTCTCAAAAATAATAATGATAATAATGTTTTCTATAAGCAAGGGGTTACTTTGTACTGTGAACTGGTGTGAAGGGATCCACCATGCGTCAGCTTTTGGATTGATGACAGTTATTTCCAGATCGTGGAGGTGGGAATGCTTGTTGATCATCTTCTTTGTTCTTTGTTATATTGATTGATTTTTTTAAAAAACTAGCATTTTTATAACAATAAATTCATAATAATAAGTAATTAAAATAAAGTAAAATAATCTAAAAAGGCCAGGCGTGGTGGCTCACGCCTGTAACCCCAGCACTGTGGGAGGCTGAGGTGGGTGGATCACCTGAGGTCAGGAGTTCGAGACCAGCCTGGCCAACATGGTGAAACTCCATCTCTACTAAAAATACAAAAATTAGCTGGGCATGGTGGCACGTGTCTGTAATCCCAGCTACTTGGGAGGTTGAAGCAGGAGAATCGCTTGAACCCAAAAGAAGGTGCTTGCAGTGAGCTGAGATCATGCCATTGCACTCTAGCCTGGGTGACAAGAGCTAAACTCCATCTCAAAATAAAACAAAAAGAAATCTAAATATAATTGAGTTGAATATTTGAACTTTTTATTGACATTTCAAATTAGATTCTAATTCAATTTAAAAGAGCAGCATCTCACAGAAGCAGATGTACTTAATTATGTTAACTCTGTGGTTTCATTTAAGTGATTTGTTTTGTGAAGGGACATAAATCCAACCAGATTTTAACAGTGTATAAATATGTATGTATTAATTTAATTACAATGGCAATACTCTCAACTTCCCATTTGAATAAAGGAGGGCATCCAATCTCTATTCTGGGGCACCATGCACTATAGGTGTGTGGAACTACCGATGCCCTCAGCTGTGGGGCAGGCTCAGTGGGACCTGGAGTGCTGGAGACCCTGGGCCATTCACCTCTGGCCACAAAAGCCACTGTCTATTTACCCCCAACTGCTATAGAAATATTATTTTCAGTGGTTGTCATGATGCAAAAGAAAAGAAGCAGGGAGATGTATTAAACCTTTATGTATAAGTTATGTTAGTAAATAAAGTGAACTTTCTTCTGGCTTAACTAAAAAATCCATATTAGTATTTATGCCTTTTGGAAAATAGAGATGCCAATTTAAATATTATGAAGCAAAGCAACAGATTATTAGGTAAGACAACCAATTACAACCGCAGAATTACAGAGGTTATGGGTTAAATGTAAAAGAATATTTCATAGCAATAATCTTTTAAGACTATGCAAAGAGACTCCACAGTGAAGCAGAAATTAGAACAGAATTAATAATACTGTGTATGCTCTCAGTTCACCAATTTATCAAAACTAGTTTTATGATTCAGGAGGGTGTCTGCTCTTTTGCAATTGGAAGAAAAGAAAGAAGATTTTATTTTTCAACTCTTCAAATTTTCTTCACTAATAGTATTTCCAAGGCTAAGTAAGGGAGTTGCAAGTAGCACCAAGAGAAAAAAGCAGGCTTGAGGAGCTTTTAAAATATGGTCTTAAAATATGGAAAATGGTCGGGCGCGGTGGCTCACGCCTGTAATCCCAGCACTTTGGGAGGCCGAGGCGGGCGGATCACAAGGTCAGGAGATCGAGACCACGGTGAAACCCGTCTCTGCTAAAAAAAAAAAAAATTAGCCGGCGCGGTTGTGGGCTGTAGCCCAGCTACTGGGAGGCTGAGGCAGGAGATGGTGACCCGGAGGCGACTTGCAGGAGCCGAGATCCGCACGCACCCACCTGGGCACAGAGCGAGACTCCGTCTCAAAAAAAAAAAAAAAAAAAAAATATGGAAAATGGAGCCACATGTGGTGGCTCAAACTTGTAATTCCAGCACTTTGGGAGCCTGAGGTGGGAGGATTGCTTGAGGCCAAAAGTTTGAGACCAGCCTGGGCAGCATAGCAAGATCCCCATCGTTACAAAAAAATAATAACTTTTTTAAAAATTAGCTGGATGTGGTGGTGCATGCCTTAGAGTCCTAGTTACTTGGGAGGCTGAGATAGGAGGAGCTCTTGAGCCCAGGAGTTTAAGTCTGCAGTGAGCTACAATTGTACCACTGTACTCCAGTCTGGGAAACAAAGTGAGACTAGATATATATATATCTGGAAAAGGGATGGCGCCAAGAATATCAAAGACA